GTTTGTTTTTTAGAAAACTGGAAGGAAGAATCATGAGATAATATTTTGGGTTTTCTCTTATCTGCAAGCTGGTTTTCTCATTCTACTTCATCAGTCATTATGATACCAGGAAAGGGGATGGGACAGATGCCACTTTGGGGTGGATGACGTTTATAAAACAGGGCAAATGTCTTCTTGACAGGCTTCTTCTGGCCAGTGGATTGTGGAAAGGGGAAGGAAGGCAGCTACCAAGCCAGTGGATAGCATTAATCTCATGCTGAGCCCACACTTTACAAACAAGGGGTGGGTGGTGTTGGGCAGATGAGAGCACTGGGGCCTGGTGGGCACCAGGGGCATCCTGCAGCCACACTGGAATGCCAGTTGGGCATATTTAGGCAGAAGGGGGTCTGGTTTTAATGATCATGTGACTGCTTAGACCTTAGTGTCTGGAGAGTCTCACATTTCTCACGTGCCCAGAGGAGAGACAGATGGTTGATGTTGGAATCACCAGGTAAGCACTCAGGGGGCTTGCAGTAGAGAGCATTGTGGTACTGACGACCAAGATCAACAGTATTTGATATAAATGTGAGGAGTCTGGCAGAAGGCTGACCAGGACTCCTTTTGATATTCACAGGGTGAATATCTACATTTTATTACCTGCTGCTGACTCAATGGCCTAAAGCAAACTCCCCCCAAAACCTGACAATCTTACTGTTTACTAAACATTACCACTGATATGTCTGTTTACATTCCTAAAAGGCAATTGTGTATTCTAATAAATAAGAGCAGATGGGAACGGAGATTCCGTGGAACTTTGCTACTACAGCTAAGCTTTCCCTGGCTTTCCCCATAATTCCAAATTTAAATTTCTTGTCTTATGTTTAAATTTGCAAGTCAGCTCTTTCTTCAAGCTTTTGAACCCGAAAGCCATGCTGGCAGTGGGTTTTCACAATAAATATCACATGATCTCACTCATCTGTGGAATATAATGAAGAACATAAAATGATGAACAAAAATAGAGCTAGAGACATAGAAGCATCGAAAAGACCATCCAACCTAAGAGGGAAAGTGGGGAGGGTGAGAGAGCGGGGTAGGAGATCAACCAAAGGACTTGTATGCACGCATATGAGCATAACCAATGGACACAGACAGAAGAGGGTGAGGGCATGTGCTGGGGGTTGGGAGCGGCCAGGGAGAAGTCACTGGGGGAAAAAGGAGACTCACTCATGTAATTAAACAATAAAGAATTTAAATTAACAACAACAACAACAAAAAGCAGAACCAAAAATTAAATGAAGGTTTGATTTAAAGCTCATGTTCTATTCACTATACAAGAAGACACTGCCGACAGCCCAGCTTGTGGGAGCGCACACGGAGGAGGCGAGGGCGGGCGGCCACCCGGACCAAGATGGCACCATCCCCGGTCGGTGCCGTGAAGCCGGGGGTAGGGTGCCAGGCCATGTATTTATTTCAGTCGGGGTCTGACTTGGGGCCTCAGAGCAGGTGGCGGAGGCGCCTGTAACCGGGCCTTACAGCGGGAGGGGAAGCCCTTTGGCGGGCGGCGCGGAGGCCAAGCAGGGCTGCTCGTGGGTTTGCTGCCGCCCTCAGCCCTCAGCGAGAGGCTTAGGGACCTTCTAGTCACTCAAGTACCAACAGGAGTTAAGGCTGCGCCCGGGGAAGCAGTGCGGTTCGGAAGGACGACGTTCCTACACCACCGCCTCCCCACCGCCCCAGGGTGGAGCTGCAGCCGAGAAAGTTGGTTTATTTCCATCTCCACGGCCCAAAGAATCGGGGGGAGAAGAGAAGCCAGAACCCTAATCTGTGGCCCCGGGGTGGGCGGGCCCCAGGTGTCCGCAGGCCCGGAGAGTTTAAAGCCTTATTCTCGGGGTCACCCGCCCTCCGTGCCCCACTGGAGCACCAAGGTGGGCCAGGTGCTAGTCCTGCCGGTCGCTTCACTCTCCGCCTTCCTCTGAGTCCGTGGTGCTCACCTCCGGCCCTGAGGCGGCTCGCTCAGAGATCCGGGGCCTCGGCCCCAGCCTTCACCCCTCCCACTGCCATCTCTCCTGGGGTCAGTGGCACACGAGGCCCAGCCCGGGGCTCGCTCAGATGGAATAACCAGTGTCACGTGACTGAGGTCGGTGCCAAGATCATTCCAACACCCACCGTCAGGGCCCAAGACACCGGCAGGTCCCTCCAACCCCGCTTCTCCTGGCTCCAGGGGGGAAGCAGACGGTTTCCGCTCCGATGCCCTCGCAGAGCGGGCAGTCTGCACACTGGTGGCCACCTCTGGGGGCGTGGGCACAAACCCTTGGCTCAACAGCAAACCCAGCCGCCAACTATGCAAGGCCCACACCTGGCCCGCACCCCACCCTCCAACGGGCGTTAGGACCACTGGGCCCCGGCGGAGGCACAGCTCCTGTGAGACCCCCCCCATCCTTGGCGCCTCTCTGGCCTGTGCGAGTGGGACCAGAAAACAGATTTTGTCGCAACTGCATTCCTTTTTAGACCTAGTTCCTTCTGTTTTAGTGTAGACGTGGCCTGGGAGCCAGCAGCCGAGCTGCGGGGCTGGGAGTAGGAGGCCCAGTAGTCAGTGGGTGGGGAGAGGACTGGGTGGCGGTGGTATGAAGTAGCCGGGCTGGGTGGGGGGCGGTGGTAAGGAGGGCAGGGTGCTGGCCCCTGGCCTCTCCTCCCTGTGGGAAAGGGGCCTCAGAAAGGGCCACGGCTCCTTGGGCTGGCCCCACGTGGCTGGGCCTGGCTGTGTGCTGTTCCTTCTGGCGCGGCCCTGGAATGGGTGCCCCTCCTGGCCCCAGCTGCTTCTGCCCTGCTCTGGGCCATGGGCAGGAGGACCGAGCTTTAATAAACATGAGAAACAAGCTTTCTGACTGAATTCCGTGTTGTTGCCGCTCCTGGCTGCCCCTGGGGAGGAGGCTCTGAGAGGCCTCAGGCCCATGTGGTTTCCGCAAACATTTTCTAGGAGTTTTTCTTTCAGGAAACCAGGATTGGTCCATGAGGAGCCAGCCCCGGGTGAATTCTGACCCTGCTGCCTGTGTCCACCACGTGTTGCTGGGAGTCCCCGACTGCCACAGAGTCCTGTAATACACTCAGCTATATGGGGACAGTGTTGTGTTTAGGGTTGTTTGGGCCAGCCTTCCCATGGGCCCCCTCCTGGTGGTCCAGAAACGTGCCTGAGTCACAGACCCCTCCTCAGAGGCCCCAGTGCCATCCAGGGTCCCCTGCTCTGTGCCGGGGCAAAGGGTGCCTCCCCCAGGGCCCTAAGCACCTACCTTTGAACTGATTTATTGACTTCGCAGCACATGGTGTCCCCCAGACCAGGTCTGACCCTCCCATCCTCTCCCCATGGATTTGAAAATATGATCTGTGTAGTAAACTCTGTTTTCAAATATGATTTGGGGGCATCAGAACAGAACCAAGATTTCAGATTTAATGAAAAAGACTGGTCCAAAGGACAGCCTTGAGGATCTTAAATAGTCTTTCAGAAAGATAAAGAATTCCCTTCTGGAGCTTACCATTGGCCAGCCAAGTTTTTGTTTTTTGTTTTTATCTTGGTGGGGGGCGGGGGGGCTTCAATCTTGTTGGTCATAGACAAAAAGGCAGCCTTCCTGGTTGAGAGAGGACTTCCGAGTTTCTGGAGTCCTGATTCATTCCGAGAATGTCAGTTGAGCATCTCCCATCATTGCCAAGGGAGGGAGGGATGCCCGTGAGAGGTGACCCACGAGAGGTGGCACTGCGAGAGTCAGAGCCCCTGAGCACCCCTCTTGCCTCCACCTACACTTGTTACTTTCCTGTTCTCACCACTCACATTCCCCCAACCTCCTCCCTTTCTCCTGACCCACATCTCATACATTTCCTCTGTCCCTTCTTTCCTTTAATTGGCTATATATGGAATAAAGCATTTTGAAATTTTTGGTTATATTTATTAAATAAAGCTTTATGATCCTTGTTCATTACTTAATTTTTTTTCCTGTTTACAAAATGCACGCTAGTTGTAAGAATTCCAAGAGTACAAAAATGTGTTAGTACACTTTTCGTGCCCTAAAGAGTCATACCACAAACAGCCACCAGGGGCCGTGGCTTCTGCAGGGCGCGTGGGTGCACATTGCTTCCATGTCCGTGGAAATGTTTTAAAACTATGAACATACTTGATATATTTCCTTGCAACTTGATTTTATCACATAATATATATATGACATTCTTTCCGCCCTGACAGCTACCTCACTCATTTTAACTGCACCATCACAGCATTTCATTCCATGCACGTATCACAATTGATGTCGCCATTCTGTCAATGGGGATTTGGTAGTTTCCCACGCCTCACTATTATGAACAATGCTGCAATGTGGATTCTGTGTGTGTGTGTGTGAAACCTCACCCGAGGATATTTTTCCATTGATTTTCAGGGAGAGTGGAAGAGAGAGGGAAAGACAGAAACGATGTGAGAGAAACACATTGATTAGTTGCCTCTTGAAGGAGCCCGGACCAGGGCCTGAGCCCGGGAGGAGCCTGTAACCAAGATACATGCTCTTGACCGGAATCAAACCCTGGACCCTTTGGTCCTACGGCCGACGCTCCATCCACTGAGCCAAACCAGCGAGGGCTGAATGTGGGTTCTTGCACATATATCTTTGTGCAGTCATACAGATTTTTAATATAACTGTTCATGTTTCTGGGTCAGAGGGCATGTATATTTACATTTTTGGCTATAACTACATGCCACCAAGAAAGGCTAACTCCAGTCCAATAGCATATTCTCCAGTGCAGTGAGGAAGTGCTTTTGGTCCGTGGCCTCACCAACACAGGACATCAACAGTTGTTTTCATCTTGTCCATTTCGCAGAGAGGTGAATGGCTTGCATTTCTCTATATTTTTATTGATTTCAGAGAGGAAGGGAGAGGGAGAGATAGAAACATTAATGATGAGAGAGAATCATTGACAGGCTGCCTCCTGCACGCCCCCTACTGGGGCTGGAGCCTTTAACTCGAGCATGTGCCCCAACCGGGAATCAAACCATGACCTCCTGGTTCAGAGGTCGATGCTCAACCACTGAACCACGCAGGCTGGGCAGATTTATGTACTTCTAAAGGCATTTCTAGGAAATTGGGAACACCTAGCAGATTCTCCTTCCTTTTTTAACATGGAGGTGAAATTTACCTTACATAGAAATAACTATTTTGCCCATTTGTCCCAGGCCTGTTCTCTGGCTCCTCCTGATCCTTTTTTCTTTTTTCTTCATGGCAGCCCAGCCAATGTGGCTCGGTGGTTGAGCTTCGACCTATGAGCCAGGAAGTCACGGTTGGGCATTTGCCTGGGTTGCGGGCTCCAGGGCTCCATCCCCGGTAGAGGGCGTGCAGGAGGCAGCCAATCAATGATTCTCTCTCATTGATTTTTCTCTCTCCCTTCCTCTCTGAAATCAATAGAAGTATCTTCGGTAAAAACGTCAGAAAGATGCGCACCTCCTGGTTCAGCGCAGCCATCCCCGGGAGAACGTGCTCCAGATACTCTTGTTGTTTCCGCTGATGTGCATTTGGACCGCCTTCCAGTTTTCATGCATGGCATCTTAAATTTTGCCCCCTCCTTTATTTCTCATTCATTTTGTAGAAATATTGCGTGGCTGCGCTCACTTGGTTACACTCTCATCTCTATGACCCAGTCTCTCCCCCGCTTGGCGGCGAGAGGGAGGCCCTAATCCCAGGGTCGAGCCCGCTCAGGAGCCCACGGTGCGGTGACGTCGGGGAGGCGGGGAGAAGTGGGGGTGAGGGGTCCTGGAAGGCTCCCGCGCAGGCCCCGCCCCGCGTGTGGGCGGAGCCTCCCGTGAG